GAAAGAAATCCTTCAGGCGAATCAATTAGAGATTCCGCTCACGGTATGAATTTATAACTTAAGATAATTTCATATAATTTATTACATTTAACTAAATATATCATTTATATTATGTTTTTGTTTTGTAGTACCTTGACGAATTCCGTGCTGCTGGGTACCCGAAGCTTAAGTTGGAAGAAATTAAAGAAGATTTGTGTCAATATTATATTAAGCAATTTTTCATGTAGGATTTGTGTCGATTTGAACTATAATATTATTGATGTAATCATGTATATATATAATTTTGGATATTATAATGGTATTATATTAGTATATATATTGTCTTACTGATGGCTGAAATAATAGCGTCGAAAATATATTACAGGTCAAAAATATATTACAGGTCGAAAATATTACAGGTCGAAAACATTACAGGTCGACTGGGAGGATTAAATTATAGGCTGCACATAAAAATACCTCATTTAGAAACGACAGCGCTTTTAAAAAGCGCTCTTAAAGGTCTACCTACTAAAGCGCTTCTTAGTAAAAGCGCTGCCAAAGACCAGTAAAAAAGCATAAAAAATTAAAAAATAACGCAGCATACAAAAGCGCTTTTGGAAAAGCGCTCTTATAGGGGGGCCTATCAGAGCGCTTTTTCCAGAAAAAGCGCTCTCATAGGGGGGCCTACCAGAGCGCTTTTCCAAAAGCGCTTTTGTATGCTGCGTTTTTTTTTAATTTTTTATGCTTTTTTACTGGTCTTTGGCAGCGCTTTCTGGGAAAAGCGCTCTTAAAGGGGGGTCTACCAGAGCGCTTTTTCCAGGAAAGCGCTCTTATAGGGGGTCCTACCAGAGCGCTTTTTCCAGGAAAGCGCTCTTAAAGGGGGGGTCTACCAGAGCGCTTTTAGAAGCGCTTTTGTTACCTACGCCAGCGCCAGCTATTAAAGCGCTTTTAAGCGCTTTTAAAGGCCAAAATAAGCGCTTTAAAAGCCCTTTTCCGTAGTAGTGGCAGATCGAGTGAAGCAAGTTCGACTCCAAACTCTTCGTGGCGAATTGGAGAGAATACAGATGAAGGATACATAAATTGTATCTGACTACATCACACGTGTGCAAAAGGTGGTGAATCAACTCACCAGAAATGGAGAGACAGTACCTGATGCACGAGTTGTTGAAAAGATCTTGAGATCTTTAACAGACAAGTTTGAAAATATTATATGTGCAATAGAAGAGTCGAAGGACCTTTCGACGCTCTCAATCGAAGAGCTCACTGGTTCTCTCGAAGCACATGAACAACGAAAGATGAAAAAGAAAGAAGAAGCGGACGAAGAAGCAAATCAAACCAAGGAATCGAACAAAGACGAAAAGTTACTCTTTTCTCACAACTTTCGAGGAAGAGGACGTGGATGTGGAGGTCGTGACAGTGGTCGAAGTGGTAGAGGTAGCAACTTCGAAAGAGGACAATCGAGCCAACAAAATTGGCGTGGCAGAGGACGTGGTCAAAGAGGTGATCGTTCGAATTATTCCAATTTCGAATGCTACAAGTGTGGGAAGTATGGTCATTATGCGAAGGATTGTAACTCCTACAAATGTTACAACTGTGACAAAGTGGGACATTTTGCAAAAGACTGTCGAATCGAAAAAAAGATTGAAGAAACAACCAACCTAGCCTTGGAAGCTGAATCGAATAAAGGCTTTCTCCTGATGGCTCAAAATGAAATCAACACCAATGACAATGTTTGGTATCTTGACTCAGGAGCAAGTAATCACATGTGTGGTTACAAACACCTGTTTAAAGATATGAAGAGAATTGAAGATGGTAATGTGTCTTTTTGAGATGCATCGAAAGTGAAGGTCGAAGGAAAGGGCACAATCAGTTACTTGCAGAAGGATGGCTTGATTGGATCAATCGAAGACGTTTACTATGTACCAGATCTCAAGACCAACATATTAAGTCTCGGACAACTTACAGAAAAAGGTGCTTCGATACTGATGAAAGATCGAACACTGCATTTGAAGGACAAAGCAGGATATCTGATTGTCACTGTCGAAATGGAAAGAAATTGAATGTACAAACTGAACCTGAGGAACATTAGAGAGAAATGTCTGCAGATCGAAGTTCAAGACAAAGCGTCACTGTGGCATATGCGATTTGGTCATCTACATCATGCTGGTTTGAGAAGGTTGGCGAAAAGGAACATGGTGCATGGACTACCAGACATGAATTTCGAAGGAAAATTCTGTGAAGAATGTGTGCTCAGCAAACAAACAAGAACCTCATTTCAAAGGAAGGCAGAGTATCAAGCTAAACCTACTCTCGAATTGATACATACTGACATATGTGGGCCAATCCCTCCAGAATCCTTCAGTGGAAAAAGGTACTTCATTTCTTTTATTGATGACTTCTCAAGAAAAACCTGGGTCTACTTCCTGAAAGAAAAGTCTGAAGCATTAGAAGTGTTCAAAAAGTTCAAAGTAATGGTAGAGAAGGCAACAGACAGACACATCAAAGCAATTCGATCTGACAGAGGAGGTGAGTATACTTTAATGGCCTTTGTGAAGTACTGTGAAGAACAGGGCATAAGGAGATTCCTAACTACACCATATTCACCTCAGCAAAATGGTGTGGCTGAAAGGAAGAATCGAACTATTTTTGACATGGTTCGATCAATGCTCAAAAGCAAGAACATGTCGAAAGAATTCTGGGCAGAAGAAGTACAATGTGCTGTTTATATTCAGAATAGATGTCCACATTCTAAGTTAGAAGACAAAACACCACAAGAAGCATGGAGTGGACAAAAGCCAACAATCTCTCATCTCAAGGTATTTGGAAGTATAGCTTATGCACATGTACCAGATCAACGAAGAACAAAGCTTGAAGACAAAAGTCAGAAGTACATATTCATTGGATATGATGAGAAGACGAAAGGGTACAAGCTCTTCAATCCCATAAGCAAGAAAGTGATCGTGAGCAGAGACGTTCGAATGAACGAAGCAAGCAAGTGGGACTGGAACAATTCGACAGAGGCTGTTGACACAGTCGAAGAAACAACTGTAGCTGTACCAAATAGTATTCCAACAGAACATGAAGAAACTGAAGATGAAGATGAACCTCTACAACCCAAAATGAGAAGTTTGCAAGATTTGTATGATTCAACAAGTGAGGTGCATCTTGTGTGTCTTCTGGCAGATGCTGAAAACATCAGCGTCGAAGAAGCGTTACGAGATAAGAAGTGGAAAAGTGCCATGGACGAAGAGATTAGAGCAATCGAATGCAACAATACTTGGGAGCTAGTCGAATTACCAAAAGGAAGTCAACCCATTGGTGTAAAGTGGGTATTCAAGAAAAAGATGAATGCTCAAGGAGAAATCGAAAGATTCAAAGCACGGCTGGTTGCGAAGGGATACAAACAGAAAGCAGGAATTGACTATGACGAAGTGTTTGCGCCTGTTGCAAGAATGGAGACAATTCGATTACTCATTTCTCAAGCTGCTCAGTTCAAATGGCCAATATTTCAAATGGATGTCAAGACAACATTTTTGAATGGTGTGCTCGAAGAAGAAATCTATGTCGAACAACCACTTGGATATATGAGAACTGGAGAAGAGAAGAAGGTGTTGAAACTTAAGAAATCATTGTATGGGCTGAAGCAAGCACCTAGGGCATGGAACACACGTATTGATACATATTTCAAAGAGAATGGGTTCGAGCAATGTCCTTATGAACCCGCCCTCTATGTGAAGAAAAATGGAAGTGATTTATTACTTGTTTCTCTCTATGTTGATAACCTTATCTTTCTAGGAAGTGATGTTCAGATGATCGAAGATTTCAAGAGCATCATGACAAGCGAATTCGAAATGACAGACTTAGGTCTGATGAGATTCTTTCTTGGTCTGGAGGTTCGACAAGAAGAAGCTGGAATTTTCATCTCACAAGAAAAATATGCAAAGGAAATCCTAGAAAAATATAAAATGAAGAATTGCAATCCAACTTCGACGCCAATGGAACCAGGTACAAAACTGTCAAAGTTTGATGGAGGAGAACGGGTCGAAGGAAGCAAATATCGAAGCTTGGTAGGTAGCCTTCGATATCTCACATGCACAAGGCCAGACATTTCACTAAGTGTTGGCATAGTAAGTCGATTCATGGAGGAACCAGTACACACACATTGGAAGGCGCTGAAACGAATTCTAAGATACATCCAAGGAACAGTATCACTAGGAATGTTTTATTCAAAAACAGAAGACTACAAGTTAGTTGGTTATTCTGACAGTGACTGGTGTGGAGACATAGACGATCGAAAGAGCACCTCTGGATATGTGTTTTTCATGGGAAACACAACATTTACTTGGCTGTCGAAGAAGCAACCTATAGTAACACTTTCGACGTGTGAAGCTGAATATGTGGCAGCATCCTGGTGCGTTTGTCATGCAGTATGGCTCAGAAGGTTGATAAGCAAGATGGAGCTGAAACAGGAAGGTCCAACAATAATACAAGTGGACAATAAATCAGCTATCGAATTGGCAAAGAATCCAGTGAATCATGAACGAAGCAAACACATTGATGTTCGATTTCATTTCATTCGTGAACATGTGAAGGAGGGAAGTGTCGAATTAAGGCATGTAGCAAGCAGAAACCAAGCAGCGGATATTTTTACAAGACCACTATCAAAAGAGGTCTTCGACAGAGGCAAGAAGATGATAGGAATGCTGGATGGAAGAAACATTTAAGTTTACAGAGGAGTTTTGTTGAATAAACATTAAATGTGTTAGTAATAAGTTTTACATTAAATATGGTAGTAGGAAGGACAAAAGTTTAGTAAGTTATGATAGTAAGTTATTAGTAGCAGTTATGTTTTAGTTTATGTTTTAGAATTGTAAAAGTTATTTGGGTCTATAAAAGACCAAGAGTGTATTTTATTTGATAAGAGAAATATAGAAGTTTTAATATAGAAGCCTGATTCATTTTATAACAAAGAATACCATAGGTCACAGGAAGCGTTTGAATTTAATGATTTTATAGAGTTGATGGAGTTGGTCGATTTACCCACGGGGCAAAGAAAATTTTCATGGAGTAGGGGGAGTGAGAAGGCTATGAGTAGGATAGATAGAATCATATTATTTGAAGGAATTGTATCTTTATTTGGAGCTACAAGCCAGAATATAGGACCCCTAAGATGTTTTTGATTATAGTTCAGTGTGGTTGTTCTGTAACTCAATGAATTGGGGACCCAAACCTTTTAGGACCATAAATGGTTGGTTAGAGCATATAGGATTTAAGGAATTTGTGTTCAAGGAATGGAATGTGATGCATGTAAGGGGCTCATTTTCGTTTGTTATCAAAGAAAATAAAAAAGCGTTAAAAGGAAGGCTGAGGTGGTGGAACAAGGAGGTATTTGGTTGGGTGGAATTGAAGATAGAGAAAGCAGTGGAGGAAATAAATAATTGCGATGAATTGGTAAGCTCAGAAATTGGTGTTGTAGAACTACCGACAGGAGAACAAAGGGAAGCAACGACAGAGTTTTTGAAAACACTTCATTATAAGGAGTGTCTTTTGAAACAAAAATCTTGAGTGAATTGGCTACAGGGAGGGGATTCAAACACAAAACTTTTCCATAATTCTGTAAAGACAAGAAGACAGAGGAACATGATGGTGGGAATTGATACGCCTACTGGCAGAATAGAATCAGAAAACGGCATTAAAGAGGAAGTTAGACATTTTTTTCAAAGAGAAATTCAAGGAGTACCCAATGAGAAGACCGCTGCTAGAAGGCATCTCATTTAGTAGTCTATCAAGGGAGGAGGAAGATAATCTGGAAGTGATGTTTACAATAGAGGAGGTTGAAAATGCGGTGTGGGACTGCGAAGGTGACAAATGTCCTGGCCCAGATGGTTACAATTTTAGTTTTTTGAGAAAGTGTTGAAGTGTGATATCAGTGTACATTATGAATTTCATTTTAGAATTCTATAACAGGGCTAATCTTCCTAAGGCTCTATCGGCCTCGTTTTTGGCATTAATACCTAAAGTAGTTAACCCACAACATCTTGGTGAATACAGACCCATATGTTTGGTGGGGTGTGTGTATAAAATTATAGCAAATATCTAATGTCGCCCGGCGACCATAATTTATCGCCCGATGACTCTTCTTATTTTCGCCCGGCGACCCTCTCTTTCGCCCAGCGATCCATGACAAGAAGGCAACTATTGTTGCTTTCTCTGTATAACTTTCAATGGCTTCCAATCTTGGCCTTATTCCTTTATTGATCCAAAAATGCATCTTGGAGCTTTATTCATATTGCTCTAACAATGCTCAAATACCTACAAAATAAATTTAAAACTATCAAACGATACACTTTATACAAGAAAATGCATTATACACAAACTAAACGTATTTATACACAAAGTTAGGTTATTCAACTGATATTAACAACCAAGAGTCGATAAGTGCAACAAAAAGTATATACAAAATAACTACACTTTTTCACTTATCACCAAGGCTACAAAATTCGGGGCACTTACAAGGTTCAAAGTCAGTGAGGCCTTGTCAGTTGAATTGTTGCAGTTTGCAGAGGACACAGTAATAATTGGGCAGGGTAGCTTGAGAAATCTATGGTGTATAAATTCTACTGAAGGGGTTTGAACTAGTCTTGGGATTACAAATTAGTTTATCTAAAAGTTGTATGTTGGGTGTTCATGTTGAGGAGTAATTTATGCAAGCAGCCTCAACATTTCTGAGTTGCAGGATCGGTAAGTTTCTTTTTACCTTTCTTGGCCTCCCACTTGGGTGCAATCGTAGGCATCAATTTGTATGGAAAGCAGTGGTGGAAAAGATGAGAAATAGGTTATCTTCATGGAAAAGTCGACTTTTGTCAATAAGGCAGAATCACCCTTATAAACTTGGTGATTAACGCTATTCCAATTTATTTGTTGTCTTTCTATAAGATCCATAAGGTTATTCTAAAGGAGATGATTAAATTACAAAGAGAATTTATATGGAGTGAAGGGGTGGATAAGAAGGGAATCTCGTGGGTGAGTTGGGAGAATGTGTGTAGGAGCAAGGAAAACGGTGGTTTGGGAATGAGAAGTATTAAGGCCTTTAATGATTCTGTGTTGTGCAAATAGAGATGGAATTTTCTTGTAGATATGGAAGCTCTGTGGAGACCCTTGTTGGTGCATCGGTATGGTCTGCTAGAGGCAACTATTTTAATGGGAGGGTGTATTCGAGAGACAACAAAAACTCATTATGGTGGAGAGACATCAAAAGTTTTGGCTCTAAATCGGAGACATCAAATGATTGGTTTTTAAAGGGCGTATTATATAGGTTGGGTTCAGGACGAAGAATTTTGTTCTGGGAAAATAGATGGTGTGGTGAGGTTCGGTTAAAGATTTTGTTTCCTATTCTTTTCAATCAATGTCAGAATCTGTTTGAAACTGTACAAGAAATGGGAGAAGTTATGGGGGACAGGTGGTACTGGAAGTTCCAAGGGGAGGTTATAAATCAGTCAGTGGATGCTCAAGAGGAGATGATAGCAATGTTTGAAATTCATGGGCAGGTTAGTAATAGTGTTTCTAGGGAGGACGGTAGTTTTAGGTGGGAAACAAAAATCGATGGAGAGTATGCAGTAAGGGATGGATATAGAGTGGTGACGGATTTGGGAGGTACAATAGCTCAAAAACTTGACCAGAATGAGGTGTTATCATCTTTATGGGAGTCGAAACTTCCGTCAAAAATATTTATTTTTGGATGGAGATATTTGAAGGACAGAGTAGCTACGAAGTTGAAATTAATGTGCAAGGGAGTGATACACAAAAATGAGGATGGTCAGTGTGTATTCTATGCGGAGTAGCTCAAATCATTAGAAAATTTAATGTTAAATTGTGCATTTTCCAAGGCAGTTTGGGAGAAGGTGTTTTTTTGGTTGGGGTTGGCCATGTATGAGGACAATTCAATAATTGAGCATTTTCTACATTTCAAACAAATACTTTTGGGAAAAGTGAAACAGAGGCAGATTTTGTTGTTCTGGTTGGCAACGTGCTGGACTTTGTGGAAGTTTCGAAACGCTCGCGTTTTCAAGAATGAAGATATCGAGGTGGGTGTTGTCATTGATAAGATAAAAATATTAACATGGTTTTGGCATGCTTTAGGTTGTAAAGCCAAAGGTTGTAAGGATTTTTATTTTTGGTGCAAAAGTCCATTGGATTTTGTAAGATGATTGTAAACTTTGTAATCATGCGAGTACTCCTTATACTCATTTAATCAATTTCTCCATTGCCTGTAAAAAAAAACGAAAGAGAAAAATGCTAAAATTGATTTTGCCATTTCCTTCACTCTTCATGCGCGTCTTTTGTAGTGTTAAGTTATATTAGAAGAACAAATAACACTAATCAAATTTTTTTGAGATTTCTTTAATTCATTATCCATATCTCACATTTTAACAGTCAAAATTTGTTTCAATGCTTCTAATTCTTCAACTAACACTTCTTTCTCTACTAGTTCATTCTGCAAAGTATTAACTTTACAAACAAAACTAGTAGAGAGGAAAGTGATGACTTAAGAATAAGAATTATTGAACAAAACTTTAACCGTTAAAGAGCGAGATACGGATAATGGGTTGCAGAAAGCTCGGAAAACATTGATAAATGTAAATTGTTTTATAATTTAATTTAATTTTTTATTGTTATTTTCTAATTTAATTCAAAAGTTATATATTCAGTGAGGGATTGGTAAAGCACCAAAACCACTTACGATATAATAAACTCATCTTCTATGACATGTTGGCTGAACGAAACGAAAGTTGCAATGTACAAAGAATCACATTAACAATAAAATACCTCAACATAGACATAAAAAATAAAACAAACATGTATCAACAAAAATAACTACTTACCTCAACAAAAACATCAACATGCATCAACAAAACATCAACATACCTCAACAAAAACATCTACAATAACACAAACAATTGAAAGTACGAAGTACGCCTAAGAGGGGGGGGTGAATTAGGTACTTTAAAAATTATGGTTTTTAGTGATGATGGTTCTTATTCTTCTGGTTAAAAGTGAGTTTAAGAAAGCTTGAAAATGCAGAAAAATAAAGAGACACGGGTGATATATCCTGATTCCCCTCACAGTCCGAGAGTACTTCAGTCCCCTTTCAACATGAAAGAGATTTCCTTATTGTGGCAAACTTAAACAAGAACTACCAAACAACCAAGAACAATCCTCTTGGATTTTCACTATGTCAACTATGAGAACAATCATCTCAAAGTGACTACACTTGTATCCAACAACTTTGAAAAGACAAGATTTCAAAAAACACTTAAACTTATTTCCAACAGTCTTGGAAAAATAAGTATGTAACTATCAATTTTTGAGTTTGAGTGAGTTGAGTAGTATTGATCACTTAGAGTGATTTAACAATGTATGATCTTCTCTTTCAATAATATTATTATACAATGACTCAAGATATAATTGCTCAAAGTTTTCTGTTTGTAGATGTATGAAAATATGCAGAAAACTTATGCATGAAAGTGAAGGAATGCTTGAGTTTGTATTTTGAAAATTCAGAAAAAATTTATGGAAGAGGTGTTGAAACAGATTTTGAAAATGAATATTTATATGTTCATAACACCCTTTTGAAACATCATGAAGTTCTAAAAATGTATCATGAACAAACGCCAAGTTTGAGTGAAAAGTTTCAATGAAAAGGCATGATGAACAGGCATGTGAAAAGCTGTTGTTTTTCAAAATCGTGCAGTATGCAATCGATTGCACCCTTTGAGTAAATCGATTGCACAAGGTTTTAACAGCTATATTTTCAAAAGTTTTAAGTGTGCAATCGATTTCACTAGCAATTCAAATCGGTTGCATGTAAAGTCAGTAGCAAAAAGTAAGTGAGTGCAATCAATTGCACTAGAAATTTAAATCGATTGCACTGAGAAACAGAAGCAAATGTTTTGAAAATTTTAAGTACGCAATCTATTGCACAAGCAATGTAAATCAATTGCATAGAGAAACAGAAGCAAAAGATCTGAAAATTTGAGGCATGTAATCGATTGCACTCAAGTGAAAAAAATGAAATTTTAACTTTGAAAAACTTGAGTAATGATTTTTAAACGTTCCTTTTTCAAAATTGAGCATCTATATCTTAAGATTAAAGTAAGCAATATTATTATACCTTGAAAGTTGTTGAGAGCTTTGAGCTGAAGATATTGTCCTTAGATGCTTTGAGCTTGATCATAAATATTTGCCTTCTTTGTCAATCAGGGTTTGTCTTCATCAAAATAAAAGCTCATTAGAGAAGCTTGATTTTACATTCTCCCCCTTTTTGATGATGACAAACAATCTTACTTTATGCGATGAACTTTTCGGAAGAGCTTCTCCCCCTAAGATGCAAAACTCCCCCTATGTAGGAGAGGGTTGGAATCCTTTGCATTTCTTCATCTTGGTCGGAGAGTACCTTAAAAATTCAGACAAGGAAAATACAAGCATAAAGTACCACATCTTTCTCCCCCTTTGACATTATCAAAAAGAAGGGAAAGATGCATAAAACAAATAATGATAGAGCAATATATTGGGAAAATTTAGAATTTAAACAAGTAACACAAATTGTTTAAGGATTACACATAAATTTGAACAAACAAAACATTGAATAACAAGACAAGAACATAACAGGAAAAAAAGTTAGCCATAACTTTAAGGGTGATGCATGTCCGGATGGTTATACGAGCCTTGATTCGGGAATTATTGTTGAAGCGGGGGTTCTGTGTAGTGTTGAGGAGGTGCAGCTGGATTATTTGGATCATATGGTGGAATATGAAGATGAGAGTAAAGGAATTATGACCAACATATTTTTTCTGTCATAAAATCAAGTTACAGAATATGCAATCGATTTGCATTTCAGGTGCAATCGATTTGCACACAAACAGAATCAAAATAAAACAGAAACACACAGAGTGTAATCGATTTGCATTGAAGGTGCAATTTATTTGCACTTGAAACAGAATGGACAGAATTCAAAATACTCAGTGAGAAATCGATTGACACTCTTTGTGCAATCGATTTGCATCAACAAAAAATGTCCAAAACCAAATTTTTCTTAAAAATTTAAATAAAACATAACATAGATTCACATATAGCATGTATAAAACATATATAAAATTATATCAAGGGTAGAATGCACCTTATAAGTTGTGTTCGTCAAGTATGCCAAGCTCTCGTCGAATTTTTTAGAAAGGCTCTCTTGCCAAAGGTTTGGTGAAGATATCGGCAAGCTGATTATGAGTATCTATAAAAGTTACCTCGGCATCTCCTTGAAGAACATGATCACGGAGGAAATGATGTCGGATGTCTATGTGTTTAGTTCTTGATTGCATGACGGGATTCTTCGTAATGTTAATTGCACTGGTGTTGTCGCATCTTAGAGGAATACGCCCTAGATCGAGTCCGTAGTCACGAAGTTGTTGTTTTAGCCACAAAATTTGAGCGCAACTACTACCCGCTGCAATATACTCAGCTTCGGCCGTGCTAAGAGCAACACATGCTTGTTTCTTGCAGGCCCATGATACTAATGCATTACCAAGAATGTGACAAGTACCACTTGTGCTTTTTCTATTCGTTTTACAACCTGCATAATTTGCGTCAGAATAACCAATTAAGTTGCAAATACTACCTTTAGGATACCACAATCTGACATTTGTTTTTCCTTTGAGATACTTCATAATCCTCTTTACCGCCGTGAGATGAGATTTCTTTGGGTTAGCTTGAAAGCGGGCACAGAGGCAAACACTAAACATTATGTCAGGACGGCTTGCCATCAGATACAATAAGGAGCCAATCTTACCTCGATACTTAGTGATGTTGATGGAAACACCTAATTCATCTTGATCAACATATGAACCAGAACCCATTGGTGTAGACATTGCCTTACAGTTATCCATGTCAAACCTTTTCAAGAGTTCCTTGCAATATTTGGATTCGTTGATGAAGATGCCATCTTTTAGTTGTTTGATGTGAAGTCCAAGAAAATAGTTCATTTTACCCATCATGGACATTTCAAATTCTCCTTGTGTCATTGATGAGAATTCTTCACACATTTCTTGATTTGAAGAACCGAAAATGATGTCATCAACATAGACTTGTGCTAGCAAAGTGTCATCTTTGATTTTCTTGATAAATAAAGTCTTGTCAACTTTGCCCTTTTCGAAACCTTTTTCGCATAAGAAGTTGCTTAAACGATCATACCATGCCCTTGGTGCTTGTTTCAGTCCATAGAGATCTTTTCTCAATTTAAATACATGAGATGGATTCTTGAAATCTTCGAACCCCGGGGGTGGCTTAACGTAGACTTCTTCAGTGATATATCCATTCAAGAATGCGCTTTTGACATCCATTTGGAAAAGCTGAAAATTTAACGAACAAGCATGGGCAAGTAAGAGACGAATAGCTTCTAACCTTGCAACTGGAGCGAAAGTTTCTTCAAAGTCTATTCCTTCTTCTTGATTGTAGCCTTGTGCTACCAATCTTGCTTTGTTGCAAACAATTATTCCATTTTCTTCAAGTTTGTTTTTGAACACCCATATTGTTCTAATAATGTGTTTGTTGCTTGGCCTAGGGACGAGTTCCCAAACTTGATTCCTTTCAAATTGATTCAATTCTTTTTGCATAGCGATAATCCATTAGTCATCGCCTAAGGCTTCATCAACTTTGGAAGGTTCAATTTGAGAGACAAACGCCATGTTTAGGCAAGCATCCTTGAGATTTAATCTTGTAGACACACCTTCACTTATATCACCAATTACTTTATCAATAGGATGATCTATATGAGTTCTCCATTCTTTTGGTAGAT